AATGTTGGCCTGTCTTGCTAGGTTGGAGAAGTTCTCCTGGATGATATCCTGAAGTATGTTTTTCAACTTGGTTTCATCCCCCTTGTCTCTTTCAGGTACCCCAATCAGTTGTAGGTTCAGTCTTTTTACATCATCCCATATTCTTGGATGTTTTGTGTCAGGCCTCTGAGCCCAAGCCAAACCGTCACATCCCCTGTGACTTGCATGTATACGCCCAGATGGCCTGAAATAACTGAAGAATCACAAATGAAGTGCAAATGCCCTGCCTCGCCTTAACTGATGACATTTCACCACAAAAGAAGTGAAAATGGCTGGTCCTTGCCTTAAGCGATAATATTATCTTGTGAAATTCCTTTTCCTGGCTCATCCTGGCTCAAAAAGCTCCCCCACTGAGCACCTGGTGACCCCTACTCCTGCCCGCCAGAGAACAACCCCTCTTTGACTGTAATTTTCCTTTACCTACCCAAATCCTATAAAACGGCCCCACCCTTATCTCCCTTCGCTGACTCTCTTTTCAGACTCAGCCCGCCTGCACCCAGGTGATTAAAAAGCTTTATTGATCACACAAAGCCTGTTTGGTGGTCTCTTCACATGGACGCGCATGACATTTTGTTCATTCTTTTTTATTCTTTTTTGCTCTATTCTTGTCTGCTGGTCCTATTTCAGAAAGATAGTCTTCAAGCTCTGAGATTCTTTCCTCCACTTGGTCTATTCTGCTATTGATATTTGTGATTGCATTGTGAAGTTCTTGTGTTTTTCAGCTTCATCAGGTCAGTTATATTCCTTTTTCACCTATTCTGGCTATCTGGCTATCAGCTCCAGTATTGTTTTATTATGATTCTTAGCTTCTTTGCATTGGGTTACAACATACTCCTTTAGCTCAACAAAGTTCGTTGTTACCCACCTTCTGAAGCATACTTCTGTCAGTTCAGCCATGTCAGTCTCAGTCCAGTTCTGTGCCCTTGCTGGGGAGGTCTTATGGTCATTTGCAGGAGAAAAGGCACTCTGGCTTTTTGAGTTTTCAGCATTTTTGCGTTAATTCTTTCTCATCTTTGTGGGCTTATCTACCTTTAATCTTTGAGGTTGTTGACTTTGAGGTTTTTGTGGGGTCTTTTTTTGTTGATGTTGTTGTTTCTTTGTTTTTCTTTGTTTTCCTGACTGTTTCTTTGTTTTTCTCTTAACAGTCAGGCCACTTGACTGCTGCAGTTTGCTGGAGATCTGCTCCAGACCCCAGTTGCCTCACTTTTTCCTGTATCTGGAGGTATCACTAGTGAAGGCCACGAAACAGCAAAGATGGCAGCCAGCTTCTTCCTCTGGAAGCTTCATCTCAGGTGGTTTCTGATCTGTTGCCAGCCCTCATACACCTGTAGGAGGTGGCTAGAGACCCCTACTGGGAGGTTTCACCCAGTCAGGAGGAACGGGATTAGGGACCCACCCAAAGAAGTAGTCTGGCTGCTTTTTGTAGAGCAGGTGTGCTACACTGGGAGTCGGGGTGAGCAGGGCCCTTATAGTCTGGACCACCTGTATTCTCCACAGCTGGCAGGCTGGAGCATCTGAGTCCACTGAACCATCAAGATGGTGGTTGTCCCTCTTCAAGGCAACCCGTCCCAGGAGATATCAAAGCTCTATCCGTAGAGCCCTACTTGGAGTGACTGAAGCCCCTGCAGGGAGGACTCACCCATGAGGAATGGATTGGGGTCCCACTTAAAGAAGCAGCCTGGCTGCAATTTGGCAAGGCAGCTGTCCTATATTGTGGGGGACCCTTCCTTATGTGGTCCATCTGTATTATCCACAGCTGGCAGGCTGGAATGGCTGAGTCAACTGAACTGCAGAGATAATGGCTTCCCCTCCCTCCAGGAGCTCTGTCCCAGGGAGAGAACAGAGTTCTGTTCATAAAACAATTGCTGGAGGGGCTTAAGGGGGTCCTCTCCAGTGAGGAGGAGTGACTTGGGGTCCCACTTACAGAAGCAGTCTGGCTGCTTTTTGGTAGGGCAGGTGTGGTGCATTGTAGCAGAGGGAACCCTTCCTAGTTCTGACCGTCTGTATTCTGCACAGCCAGGAGGCTGCAGCAGCTGAGTCGACTGAACCACAGAGATGGCGGCTGCCCCTACCCCTGGGAACTCAAACCTGTCTCAGGCAAACTCCCACCCGCTGCCATTGGCTGTCTGGGATTCCAAGCTGGTGGTCTTAACTTGTGGGGCATCATGTAAGTGGGGCCTGAAGAATGGCATTGCTTGGCTCCCTGGATTCAGCCCCCTTCCTAAAGATGGATTTCCTGCCTTGCTGGTGATTGTGGCCGGAGTATGTAAAACTTCTGGGCCTCTTTGTATGTGCCTGAGTGGCTGCTCTGCCAAGACAACACACAGCTCTGTGTATCAGACTCAAGGCTCTGGTGGTGTGGACTCATGAGGGGGTCTCTTGATCCGCAGGTTGCAAAGATTCATGGGAGATGCATGGTTTCCTGGGTTGCACAATCACTCACCACTTCCCTTGGCTGAGGGTGGAGGTGCCTTTGATTCTGTGCTGCTCCAGGGTGGGCTCCCCACCCTGCCCAACTTTTCTTCATTTTCCATGGGCCAGTGGTTTTCCTAGTCAGTCCCAATGCGAGAACTTGGATATTTCAGTTGAAGATACTGAATTCACTTGCCCCTTTTCATTCCTCTCTGTGAGTGCTGCGGGCAGAGGCTTCTAATTGACCATAATGGATTGATCTCCCCGCAGTGAAGTGTTTTAAGAGGAAGAACACGTGGTATCGTGGAAAATCAGCATAGCATCGTGGCTCAGAAATAAGACTCTGCAGCCAGGCAGGTTGTTTGGTTTGGAATTCTGGTCCTGCAACTTACCGGTAACCTCTCTGTGCCTTAGTTTCCTCACAGTTTAAATAGGGATAAAATAATATCTACTTTATAGGTCTATTTGCGAGGTTTTAACATTCTTGGAATAGTACCTGGCTTATTATACATGCTACAGAAGTGCTTATTCAATTAAATAAATAAAATCATCTTTGGTAAGATAACTCTGAACATTGTATGGTTTAGTAGAGGATGCTGACAAGAATAAATAATTAAAACATATTATGAAGTAAGCATAAAAGGTAGTGGTAACGCAAAGATGAGAATGAGCTCTGCTTTCTGTGATTAGTGTGAGCAGACAAATGTCACTGTACTCAGAAGCTTAAAGCCTAGTGAGGGAGGCTGACATGAATGAAAACCAATGGGAAAAAATGTTAGAGTAGAGGTATAAGCAAGAGTGATTAATTTCAACTTGAAAGCAAATGGGGGAGGTTTCACAGAGAGGGGCCCAGCATATTGGTTGATTGCTTGGGCTCCAGAATCAGGCCAGCTCAGTTTAATGCTGACTTTGTACCTCACTGGTTTTCTGACTTGACATCTCTAATCCTCCATCTCCTTATCTGTAAAGTGGGGATAAATAATAATGATCATAATTTGTAGCTCATAGGACAAATAAGAATTCACAGTTAATGCATTGAAAATCTTAGCACAAGGCACTCAATAAATGTGAAGCTTTTATTATTATTACGAGTTGAAACTTGAGTGGGAAAGAACTTTGTTGGCATTAAACATGAGTAAAGGCCCAGAAGTTGAAAAGCATTTGACATAACGAACAGCAAGTCAGCGCCACTTAAACTGTAGTCACCACCGCCAGTCAATGAACAGCTTTTTACTGGTCCATGAACAGGTAAGTATAGAAATTGTGAGTAAACATTTAGAAATAAAAAAAACAACAGCCAAAAATTGAAAAACTAATTTTATGTTTTTTGGGATACTCGTTGTACACTTGTAATAAAAACTGTGCTTGTAGTTTTTGTCTCTTATCTGCTAGCTGGTTTTGAATTGTGTTTTACAGAAATAATGGTCCATGTCAGATTGTAAATAATAAAAACTTTTCCTTTACCGTTGATGGTTGGAGAAAAAAGTAATTCAGTGGGGTTTGATATGGCATCCGAGAGATAATTCTGGAAAGGTGGGTCAGGGCCATGTTTATGAGGACCCTCCAATGCCTCACAGAGTTCACCCTTTTTTCGGTGGGCAACAGGGCTAGTAAGGTTTAGAGGGATTGTTAACCGAAGGTGAGTGGACTTTCCACATTTTGTGTGTTTTTTTTTCCCCCCCCAGCGAGCATGTGCTTTTTCTTTCTTTTCTTTTTAAATTAAAAGTTCTGTTTTGTTTTTTTAGTTAAGAGGAGAGACTGGAACTGCTCAGTGTTTCACAAAGATAACTGTTTGTATTTGATAAGAGTTTCCTTAAACAAAGGAATTTGCACTTATCAAAACATAAAGCATTGAAAACAATGAGCACATACTCTGTGACCAGAATGCGTGTGACTTGTTGAGATAAGCCACACCAGGTAATCAGATGAGTCTCCTTTCTTCTTGGGCACCCTCATATAATTAAGGCACAAGCGAAAGAGAAAAGACTCTTTCTGATCTCTCAGTTCGGGTCATCTCTTCTGCCTTCCATCATCACCGCCTAACAATCCTACACCTGGCAGGATGGGAAAACGGTTTAATAATCGCTTCCCTCTGGGAGGCGTTTGACAGCTCAGAAAGCATGGCCTTTACTCAGGCTCAGAGAAACACAAAAACCTTTCACGTTTTCCTTTCAGCTTCGCAGCCCGGTCCTTCTCTACCTGCACGGGCATCCATCGAAGCACAGGACCCTTCTGCCAAGCCATGCGCCTTCTCAGGCCCCTGCCGCCCGCCTTGCCTGAGGCTGTGCTTCTGAAAAGCACGCGGCCCTGGCCTGCGCACCACCCAGTCTGAGGGAGACGCCCCTGCACGAAGGAGTCAGGCCTAGGGGCTCCGGACCCAGGGCGACACTCAATTTTCTAACAGAAGCCACAGCCCAGAAGCTGAGCAGCCTTCCGGCCGATCTGTGTCCGTAAGGTCGCCCTCCGAGGGCGAGTGAGACCGCCCGAGGCGTTCCGGAGGTGGTGCCCGGCCCCCGAGTCAGGTCTTTGCCCCGCCTCTCGGTCCGCGGCCTGGCCGGCAGGCAGGGCTGCAGTCACGGGGCGGCGCGGAGGGCCACAGCCTGGTCAGGGGTGTGGCCGCCGCCACCGTAAGGCTAGGCCGCGAGCCCGGTCCTGGGAGCCCCCTCCGTCGCCGCCGTAGGAGCCGCCCCATCAGGTGCGTTTGCAGCCGACCTGGCAGTGCCCGCGGGCGGCTGGACCGAGGCCTTGGCTCCTACCCGTGGCGGTCGGGCGGGCTGAGGCTGGAGCAGGCCAGGGGCGGGGGCAGACGGGGACGGAGTTCCAACATCGCTCATTCGGGGGAGTGACGGGAGGACCTGGCTGGGAAGCGGCGGGTTGGCAGCCTGTGGCTGCCCCTTCGTGACACTGGAGGCACCGAGCCTTGAAATGGGGAAGCTGTGACGTGGGGGTGGTGGAGGATGATGCGGGACAGCAGCGAGCACGGCCCTCAGCGGTCGTTCCCAAGACGGTTTTACTTCCCCTCAGCAACAGGGCTCAGCCCCAAGCCGCCCCCTTCATCCCCCATCTGCAAACATTCCTGGTCCCCCTGAGCCTCCAGTATGCTTTATGCAGTTCTTTTGGGGTTCCTTTCGCATTTTACCGTGTACTTTCGCTTTTGATGCGTCTAGTTTCTGCTACTAGACTCTCCTAGAATCTAAGTTCCATGAGGGCAAAGTCCCATCTGACTTAGGACTCAGAGCTACTCGATAAGTAATTGGATGAGTACCTATGCCGTAGAACTGAGTGAATTAACAAATGAGTAAGTCAGTGAGTGCATATGAGATCGAACTGAATGAATCAGTGCATGAGTGAAAATAAAGATATATGAAGTGGAAGCAGTGAAGATGCAGGCTTACAACTCCTAGGTTTTGATAGCTTTCCAAAAAGTTGTGTAAATGTTGCACTTTTGCAAATGGAGGCATTCTGATTGGGACCACTTAAAAAGAGTTCTATTCTATGCTGTTAAAATAATCTCCAGAAACGCCCCCTGGTATTTCCATTTTTGGTGGACTTGGCTTTATGTGTTTGCTTACAACAAAATATGCCTAGGTTTTTTCTTGCTTGTGTTTTGTTCACTTCTACTTTGGACGTTTAAAGAATCATTGTCACTATAATATTTCATTCATTTCTTAAAGATAAGGGTGACTGTAAAGGCAGAACCATATGACTCTGACTTGTTCGTAAAACCAGGCGTTTCTTTTGAATTCAGAGTTATTAAGAATCTTGTCTGTTTTCCTGAGACAGGTGCTGGCTGATTTGCAGGTGACTGAAGAAGGCTACATAGGGCCCAGAGAGACATTTATCTGTTTGTAAACACATAGGCTTAGCACATAGCTTTAATACAGTTGGCCACTGCAGCAGTTCTTAGTTTCCAGGCCCAGGTTCCAGAAGAGCCGGATGACCTTGGACTTGCCACTTGATCTCTTTAGGTTTTAATTTCTTAATCTCCAAAATGAAGGTGTTTAGCTAGGGACCCTTCCTGAGTTAAACCTTTGGGATTCTTTTTTATCAGGGTTAGAAGGTGAAATTACCGATGATTTCCTGGAGTTCTGCTTACTTCACCTCCTCTGTTTGAGATTCCATAGCATTTTGTCTCTGCTGTCTTCTCTGCTATTTACAACTCATTTCCTTTCTTCTCCACATCTGCAATAAGAAAGCCTGGGAGCTCAAGATAAGTATAATAAATCCTAGGCTGGTGGGGAGAAAGGAGGGCAAGATTTTCTTCTACATTGTCACAGGCTCCTGGTCCTGGGTCTGACTTGTTTCCAGTGCAACCTAGTCTGACAATGCTATATATTCCCAGTGTATCCGGGGAACTGCATCCCTATTTCTTTGCATGCATTTGAGATTAGTTATCATGGATCACATTTTGGAGCTGGAAGGACCTTGGAGATTTTTTAAAGGCACTTCAAAAGTCATTATACATACGTATTTAAATATTTTTGCATGCTACATTTAACAAACACAAAGTTCCAAATGTGTTAAGTAAAATGAAATTAATGTTACCTACTTCAGTTAATTCAAGTTTATAAGGAGAAGTGGAATACACATGTTGCTTGGTGAAAAGGGCCAACCCAAAGAGCCAGTTATGAGGTCATGTGTCATACAGGCATGGAATGTTACAAAGCTGATATTTATGGGGCACTGACCATACACCAGGCACTGTTATATTTAATCTTTTTACTTATATTGCCCCATTTAATCGTCACTATATACCTAAGAGCTAGATACTATGGTAATTCCTATTTGACCTTCTTGACTAGAAACAGCACTTGGAAAATGGGACAGTTAGGACTTAGAACTCAAGCAGATGGAAACAGGGTTTCTCCCAGAAACAAGACAATCTTGCCAGGAAAGACTGTGTGACTTTGAAGAATGTGGTCTCTGTGTGTGTTCAAGCATATATACAAACCCTGTGTTATTTGGGTAACTGAATTTAGAATGAGAGTACAGGGTGAAATGATTAAGACTGAATTATAAGGGAGTTGGTTGTTTTATCATTTTGAAAATTATTGAATTCCATTGAGATTCTAGGAGACTCTGATACTTTGACCTAGGTGCCCATGCATCTTAATTTTAAATGTATTCAGACTTACCAATTTAGGGAATATAAAATGAGTGGCATCAAGAGTTGTCATCAGTGAATGGCACTTAAGGGCTTTGAACCACGAGTGCCAAGCAGTGTTGTTTCTTGGACTAGCTTTGTGCCCTTGGTAGGACACTGCCTTCCAACCTCCTTCTTTATAAGACCAACAATCCCTAGTATAGACAAAGAACAATGCCTACATCTGTGTAATCCAGAGGCAAGAATGCAGGATGGGTTTCCAGAACTCTTATAATTAATTGATGAGAGCAAAAGAGGAAAAGAGAGGCCCATAAAATAAGTGGGAAATTATTTTGTTTCTTTTTTGTCAGCCAAGTTTAGCCCCATGGAAAGCAGAGACCAGTTGTGGCCGCCTGAAAAACTAAGAGCTGATGCCAGTTTGATTTAGCTCAGGAGGCTGAAACTTTCTGCCCCGAAGGCTGGTGTGATGGAATAGACCTTCCCATTGCTCACAATATTATGAAAAAAACATTAAAGCAACAATTTTTATTACTTGCCCTGAAGCTAGAGCTTTAAAATGTACTTTCTCCTCCTACCCTCCCTAAACCACTTAACTTTTAAAAACAAACAACCCATTCATGTGTTTGTTATAGTCACATTATTAGTTCTTTCTCTTTATTCCTGGGCCCTTTTCTTTAATGCAGTGAAGTGTCTGGAGGGGTGTACCTCTGGATCTCTGGAATTTTCCTTTAGTTATTTTATTCAGAACATATTAATTTCAATAACTGTTTATTGAGTGTGTACTATGGGCCGGATAAAGATGAATGAGAACAAATTTAAATAGAAGAGTGACCCATCTGCAAACAATTGCACCACAGGATAATGTGGAAGTAGTGGTCACTCACTCTTCCAGGAAAGAGGTGTGATTGGAGCTCAGGAAGACTTTGCAGAGAAGGTGAATTTCAAACTGTGTTTCAAAGCCTGAAGACCAAGCAGAGGGAGAAGGGTATTCCAAGAATGGAGAACAACAAGAGCAAAGAAAAGGACGCAAGTATGAACATGGCATTCTTCGGGAGATGGGACTTCAGTGTGGCTGTGGTAGGGAGGTCTGGTAAGGCTAGGGCCAGACATTGATGGTCTTTGAATGTCATGTTATTTAAACTTTATCACAGTCTAGATAATCCTTTTCAGCATTATTTTTGTTTTGTTTTGTTTTGAGACAAGGCCTCTCTCTTGTCACCCAGGCTGGAGTGCCATGGCAAGATCTCAGCTCACTGCAACTTTCGCTTCCTGGTTCGAGTGATTCTGCCTCCGCCTCCCAAATAGCTGGAACTATAGGCGCATGCCACTACAGCCTGGCTAATTTTAGTATTTTTAGTAGAGACGGGGCTTTGCCATGTGGGCCAGGTTGATCTCAACCTTCTGGCTGCAAGCTATCTGCCTGCCTTGGCCTCCCACAGTGTAGGGATTACAGGCGTGAGCCACTGTACCTGGCTGTTTTCAGCATATTTAAGCTGAATTTTAAGCAGAGGAGTGATATGATTGGATTTTCTTTAGAAAATAGTTACAGTAATGTTTCAGAAGAACTGAGGAATGAAGAGCCAGAAGGCCACAGGAAAATGAAGATGCTATTGCCATAGTTCTCATGAAATAGGATAAGGATCTAAACTAAGATAGGTTTGAGAGGCTTTTTGAAAACAGCAGGATTAATGACTAGCTGGATATGGGAAATATGTTTAAAAATAATCTGAGGTTTTGGAATTGCTTAACTGGGTGAGTGGAGATGCCACTAATGAGGGTAAGAAATGTAAGGTGAGGAAGAAGTTTCGGGAGAAAGACGGTGAGTGAGCGGAGGTAGCTGTGGAACATCCAGGTGGAGATCCCAGGATATAGCCTTTTCTGTAGCTGTGCTGTGATGTCACACAGTCAAGACCTCAGCCAAACATCACAATAGGGTCTCGGTCTAAAAAGACACATCAGTTTAATAACTCACTTAAAAAATGCATCATACTTATCTAATGACCATTACATTATATTTCAGGCGAGTTCTTAGAGAACTCTGATTCTTGTGTAAGTGCCAGTAAAGGAAAGAAGATTGGAGACTCAAACAATGGGGGGTTGTTATAAGCTGCCAGAAGAAACTGAAAAAGAGAAATACAGACCAGAGTGGTTCAAAGGAACAAAGATAAGGAAATGGCAGGAGTGTTGCAGAGAGCAGTGGTTTCCAAAGACACAGGTATAGGCAGATATGAAATACAGAAAAGAAATTTGAGCTGGCGCTTCCAAATAATTGTACTTCTTTAATGGTAAGATATCACAAGCTTTGATTTCTCATCTTATTCAGTTTGTCAGGAAGAGACAAACAGGAGATTGTTCAGAGGTGTGGGTGCTGGGCAGAGGGCTTGATCTCATTTGGCAGAGAAAGTGTTTGGAGACTTTGAACTAAGCAAAGAGTAACAGGGAAAGTAAGATAAAAATGAAAAGGATAATGATTTGGAGAAATTTTCCAGAAAATTTAAGTAATTCTATGACAAACCGGTGTTAACAAAGAAAAAGGCAGATCAATGCAGTGTTCTCTTGATGCAGTGGTATTAGACTTCCTTGGAGAAAAG